TTCCCCGATCTTCTACGACCAATGAACAACCTCCTCAACCAACAACCAACAAAGAACACCTACACTCAATTAGCTGCAGCCGTCGCGCCATATTTGATTAGCCGGGTAAATCTTCAGGTTAATCTCACTTAGAATTAACCTCTCATAGTAAATCTCTTCACAAGCTCCCAGATCTAAACTAGCAGAGTTACCCGGCTAGGAGCGCGCCGAACGCCGTCTACCACATGACATCAACTGCAGCAACATCTCCATAAAAACAACCACGAGCTCCAACAACGAGGAAATCATTGTTCGACCGTGGCGTGGCCTTTGTTTGCTGGCTCGTCAAATGGGAGATAATTTTCCGCCAACTGCGGCCGTTTGCCGGAGACAACCCATGCAGAACAGTCGGACAAGGGGAGAAAACTCGGGCAGGCGGATGCAAGGGGAAATAATGGGGAAATAAAACAGCTGAAATGATTTTCTTGAAATTGTCAGCAGTAAAAAAATAAATTATCTGCGGATAATTTTTTGCCATTAAACCGTGTCGTCAGCTTGTTATGTCAAGCCAACACTGCTAATTTGAGACTGGATGTTGTATGGCTGTTTCGTTTTAAGACATGTCAGTGGTGTGTACATATGTCAATCTCAGTGGTGTGTAGACATGGCAATCTCAGTATTATGTACACACGTCACCTTAGTGCTGTCAACTGTGTACCGAGGTAGTCTTGTCCTGCATGCACCTCTCTAGTCTGGTAAAGTTATATTTACGCCCCCACCCCCAATAGATGAATTTGTTAAAATGAACTTTTAATAACTACTAACGGGTAGAGTAGATCTACATGTTCCTTTCTAAATCTTGCCCTAGACACCTACAGTTCTATTGTAGAGAGTAGGCCTACAATGTCCTTGTTAACTGCCGCAGACACCTACAGTTCTATTGTAGAGAGTAGGCCTACAATGTCCTTGTTAAATGCCGTAGACCCAAACAGTTCTATTGTACCCATGACTAGACCCGTGATCTTAGTTGAGAGACAGGGGTGATGTGGGGGTTAAATAGATCTACAACAGGTTACATGATGATATCAACGTGATGAGATTAGATCGGCCGTTGTGGGGGGGGGGGGGGTGTGGGGGGGAGAGAGGGGGGAGTGGGAGGATGGAGGAGGGAGGGAGAAAGAGAGGGGGAGGTCTAAGGACACACATGAATGATAGCCCATAGATAAACATTTGGCTGGGAAATTGCTGATCCAGCGATTTCATTAAATGACCAGATCTTTATATAAAAATTAAAAAAAAAAAACCCATCAGAACTTCATCAGGACAGTCATGTCTAAAAGGTATCTTCAGATTTTAAAACTGGTTAATGAGACGAGTTAATCTAAAACTATGGGATCAGTACGCCCGTGCCTCTAATCCTGATCACCCACAAACCCGTGGTTATGAAGATCCATTTACTCCACTGATCCCGTGCTGCCAATGTTTTATAGATGAGTGGCGCTCACAAGCAACCAGACCTCAAGTTTTGAAACAACTCACCTCCATCGAAATATACACGAGCATCTACTACAGTCTGGTCATGTGGCTGAGAAAATTTCTATACTTTACAGTCGTTATATCCTGTATAAGGTAATATATTGTAGAAGTTGATATGTGACAGTATACCCAGACAAGTATTGTTCTAAACTGTTCTGCAACAAGTCTCCATGAGCAAATCTTAAAACTCTCAGACAAAGTTTGAAGCATCCACTGCAGGTTTTTGTGTAACCCAGGAGATCACCTTAGTTACCCAACAGACCATCTTTGTTACCCAACACTTTGTTACCCAACATTCCATCTTTGTTACCCAACACTTTGTTACCCAACATTCCATCTTTGTTACCCAACATTCCATCTTTGTTACCCAACACTTTGTTACCCAACATTCCATCTTTGTTACCCAACATTCCATCTTTGTTACCCAACAGACCATCTTTGTTACCCAACACTTTGTTACCCAACATTCCATCTTTGTTACCCAACACTTTGTTACCCAACATTCCATCTTTGTTACCCAACATTCCATCTTTGTTTCCCAACAGTCCATCTTTGTTACCCAACACTTTGTTACCCAACAGTCCATCTTTGTTACCCAACAGTCCATCTTTGTTACCCAACGGTCCATCTTTGTTACCCAACGGTCCATCTTTGTTACCCAACAGTCCATCTTTGTTACCCAACGGTCCATCTTTGTTACCCAACAGTCCATCTTTGTTACCCAACAGTCCATCTTTGTTACCCAACAGTCCATCTTTGTTACCCAACGGTCCATCTTTGTTACCCAACAGTTCATCTTTGTTTCATCCAACCTACTTTAGCTGCCTACCATTACAAAGCTTACAAAACCAAAGTACACAAAAAACGAGCAGTATACATTGCTACAGCGTAATCAGGCCTTACAACTAGATAGTAAATGTGATACTGTGGCCAAATATGCCCCTACAGCTATACGTGCACCTACCTACAGCTATACGTGCACCTACCTACAGCTATACGTGCACCGACCTACAGCTAAACGTGCACCTACCTATAGCTATACGTGCACCTACAGCTATATGTGCACCTACAGTTAAGTATGAACCTACTTATAGCAAAAGGCGTGCACCAAGAGTTAATTGTGCACCTACCTACAGCTATACGTGCACCTACCTACAGCTATACGTGCACCTACCTACAGCTATACGTGCACCTACCTACAGCTATACGTGCACCTACCTACAGCTATACGTGCACCTACCTACAGCTATAGGTGCACCTACAGCTATACGTGCACCTACCTACGGCTATACGTGCACCTACCTACAGCTATACGTGCACCTACCTACAGCTATACGTGCACCTACCTACAGCTATACGTGCACCTACCTATAGCTATACGTGCACCTACCTATAGCTATACGTGCACCTACCTATAGCGAGGGCAGGCAGCGGAGCTAAATAACACTCAGAGTATGTCATGTTAGATTCTTACATCGATTTTCATTTTTTGGTTGCCATGGCGACACGTATTTTAAATCCTGACTCATAAATAAATGTGTTGCTGCAATACTGGGTGGGGCTTGGTGATCGTGGGGTTTGGGAATTATAGGGGTTCTGGGATGGTGGGGTTTGGGAACTGAGGGGTTCTGGGATCGTGGGGTTTGGGAACTGTATGGGGTTCTGGTATCGTGGGGTTTAGGAATTAGGGGTTCTGGAGTCGTGGGGTTTGGGAACTGAGGGGTTCTGGGGTTTAGGAACTGTAGGGGTTATGGGATCATGGGGTTTGGGAACTGTATGGGGTTCTGGTATCGTGGGGTTTGGGAACTGAGGGGTTCTGGGATCGTGGGGTTTGGGAACTGTATGGGGTTCTGGGATCGTGGGGTTTGGGAACTGAGGGGTTCTGGGATCGTGGGGTTTGGGAACTGTATGGGGTTCTGGTATCGTGGGGTTTAGGAATTAGGGGTTCTTGAGTCGTGGGGTTTTGAAACTGTAGGGGTTCTGGGATCGTGAGGTTTGGGAACTGTGAGGCTCTGTGATCGTGGGGTTAAGGTTAAAGTCCTCGATATAAGTACATAATGCACTTGCCATGAAGTTTTATGTTTTTAAATCTATTTTAAAAAGTTATTTGAAAAAAAAAACTTTTTGGAAACTTGCACAATGTATTTAAAAACTTATTTTAAAAATTAACAAGGCCATTAGTATCTCAACCATGTTGAAACCCCAGGCATTCAATGTGTGTACTTGTAGACCTATGACTCCACTACTGTCCTTACAGTAACATGAAGCATATGAGTGGGTTTGTTGAAGGATGAACATGGCCTACAGCCAGCTAGTACTCACTCACACACGCACACACACACTCACACACACTAAGTCATGCTCAGTCACACCAACACACCTAACTTCTACACAGAGTATACATATTAGTGCACTGACATGTGCAACTGGTGACAGTGACACAGTGACACCAGCATGTCATGACACCAGGTGAGTAATAAAAAAATTTGCTCGTCTACAACTACGGCTGACCCGTGGCCTTGAACTTTGTGCCAGCGCGTGGGCAGGGTGAGCGGTCTAATGGAGCGTGACGATCAACTCATCATGGACGTGAGGGTCTAGCTGGCCAGGCGCGTGCTAGTGTGGGGGGGGGTGTAGTCCCTACCTGTGATGGTGGCTGTCTAATAGTACGGTACATTATACCTGATCCATTATGTAGAGGCCGCAGTGTGGAGGTGTGTTGGTGCACGTGAATACTAATAGTACTACTAGCTTCGTGAATGGGATGGGGGGAGGGGGAGACTAAAATTGTTTCATTTTGAGAGGGTGGGGGACACAAATAGTAACATCATTTATTCATTTGGGGGAGAAATGGATCAGATGAGGTTATCAAGTAGTGCTATTGGGTCCCCGTGTTAATGTTAGAGCTTGTTGGAGTGAACATAGGCAGGTAAGACAGGTATTATATGACTGGGGAACATACAGGACAGGGGAACATACAGAACAGAGGAACTTGTGGATGAAGGGAACCTGTGGGATGGGGGAGCCTGTGACACATGGGATTATGTGACAAGTGACATGGGAACCTAGTGCACAAAGGGAACAACGGGCGTGTAGTAAAACAAGCAAGCAATTAGTCCTAGTTTCGGGCTAGTTGAGTCATGAGCGTCCACGGGCAGGTAAACAAAGGCCAGACACTGACCACTGGTCACGTGGTCACACCGTGTTGGCATGAGCTGACTACAGGTAGACAATAGTTAGACACTGGTCACACCGTGTTAGCAGGAGCTGACTGTATGTAAACAAAGGCCAGACGCTGACCACTGGTCACACCGTGTTAGCACCAGCTGAATGAATGGACCTGGTCAGAATGGACTCGTTAGCACGTGACGTCACTGGCCAGTAACTGTGGTCTAACCAGACATAACCTCTAATCACGTGACCAAAGAGTTGCTAACTAACAGGAGCTTGACCAGTGTCCAGCACGTGATGTAAGCAGTACTCACCAGATTGTAGACGCCCAGCAGGAAGGTCTCCACGCCGCCACAGTTCTGAAAGAGACGAGTCTCTGTTAGTTGTTGGATAGGGGGCCTACTCTACATAAATACTAAAATAGTTGAAAGTGACAGAATGAATGGGGGTGTGATGGTATAGGGTTGTATATAGTTTAAATAGTTTGAGCTGTAGGATATACGATATAGAGCTGTATAGAGTTAAATATAGAGATGTAGGATATACGATATAATATAGAGCTGTATAAAGTTTAAATAGAGTGAATATAGAGCTGTGTGATATACGATATAATATAGAGCTGTATGATATACGATATAATATAGAGTTGTATGATATACGATATAATATAGAGCTGTAAATAGTTTAAATAGAGCTGTATGATATACGATATAATATAGAGCTGTATATAGTTTAAATCGAGTTAGATAAAACACTGTAATGTTGGCGTCAACAAGTAAAGTAACGACATTTTTTTCGAGAGGGCTCTTAGTGAGCCTAAGCTGTTTCACTGTTCACTATCTAGCTGGTTCAATGTATAACGGGTTAACTGTCAGTCTAGCTTCAAATGATTTAAACGTTTAGTGTGTGGTTTACAAGGTTTTTGTGTTGTTTTGTGTGGTTTGTGTGGTGTGTGTGGTTTGTGTGGTTTGTGTGGTTTGTATTGTTTGTGTGTTTTGTGTGGTCTGTGTGGTTTGTGTGGTTTGACTAAAAGCTCAAAATTTTCTAACGAGCCAATCGTGGTGTGTTTGGGCAGAAAGGTGACGTCACTAATGGATTACAGATCGATGAGCCGATGTTTGATGATCAACAGATGATCAGACTATCTTGTACACAGGGCTATCTTGTACACAAGGCTATCTTGTACACAAGGCTATCTTGTACACAAGGCTATCTTGTACACAAGGCTATCTTGTACACAAGGCTATCTTGTACACAAGGCTATCTTGTACACACGGCTATCTTGTACACAAGGCTATCTTGTACACAAGACTGTCATGTACAACTCAAGTTTTGATTCTTTCACATACTTAAAGTAGATGTTTGTTACACCTGATCACGTGATGTTTGTTACACCGATCACGTGATGTTTGTTACACCGATCACGTGATGTTTGTTACACCTGATCACGTGATGTTTGTTACACTGATCACGTGATGTTTGTTACACTGATCACGTGATGTTTGTTACATCTGATCACGTGATGTTTGTTACACTGATCACGTGATGTTTGTTACACTGATCACGTGATGTTTGTTACACCTGATCACGTGATGTTTGTTACACTGATCACGTGATCCAGTAAAGTAGTATGTTGGATACAACTGGTCACGTGACCGACGGTTAGACCCGTGGTGTGAGGAGCGACGTCACGTGATCTCATCCATCAGACCAGGCACCATCAGGCAAGTGACGTTTTATAAACGTACAAGGCTGGTCAACCCCAGCTGAGTGAAAACAAAACGAGAGATTATCTGAGTATTTTAATCATCTAACGCCTTGGCTTGCTCGTGTGCTGACACGATTATCCCGCTTGTTGTTACTTTCATATTGTTAGGAGAAGCCGATACTTGAAACGGTAATCTTCTCAGCTTAGGCGTATATCGGCCTACATAGTAAATCATCAAGCTGGCTTTTTTTTCCAATTATAACCCTTTATTTTATTTATTTTTTTTTTTTTTTTTTTTTTTTTTACCTTGTTGGCAGTAACCATGTTTAAAGTTTATTGTTTAACTATTTCTTCAAAAGTGTTTTTATATTTCCTGTGAATCACTTTTCTAACCCTAAATCTATGTCACATTTGTTTTGCCCAGAAGACAATAAACATTACATTCATTCCACTAAGGATTCGATCCTGCGCTACAAGATTAAAGACCACTTTTTTTTTCTTTTTTTTTTCAATGAAGTTACTAACTGGCAACAAGGCAGCACTAGTGTTTTAGAGAAAATATTTATGAAAGTAATTTTGACTCAACCAACGATTAGCCAGGGGAATTAATTGCGACTTGCTTGTAGTAGCGTACCTGGGCATCAGGTGTCGCGGGCAGACAAAGGCAGACGTCAGGTGGAGGCAACACAAACAAGGGGAGGCGACCCGACATCTTCCTATACAAGGGGCGGTCACACGACATAAGGGGGACAATTCCCGTGGTGATCGCAGCGAAATTAGAAAAAAAACCTCCATCTTGCACACGCATCGAGACACAATTACTTTTTTTAAAAAAAACACTCTTACCTCCCCTTAGCCAAGAGCGGATAAATATCTATCATTACACCGCGCGGTCTTGTAGGTTCTCCAGCAATTAATTGGTCAATAGCACAACTGCGACCTCTCGGGTTAAACGGTTAGCCAATCTCTTCTCGAAATTTCTCATCGTATTTTCTTGTTAAACAACATGGTGTTACATGGGCGAGGCGAGGGGGGGGGGGGGGGGGGGGAGTGAAAGAAAATGTTTTCTTAGTAATTACAAAAAAATTGAAAGCCATTTTGATTATAGCTAAGGTTCGCGATGTAAAAAATACACATTCACGCGCATATGCTACAAAATAATTTTTAAAACGTTTTTAACGTATCGTTAAATTCGATTTTATGTATTGTTATTTATTACTATTATCATTAAGACTATCACTATTATCATTATTATCATTTTATTATCATTACTATTACCATTACTATTGTCATTTTTATCATTGTCATTTAGTATCAATCATTATCATTAATATTATTATCATCATTATTCTCATCATTATCATCATAACTATCATGGTCACAAAAGTTTACATTTCATAATTACTCTATTTATTACATTATATTACCATCGATATTACAACGTATATTTATACTAGCTACATACCCGTGTTCCGCCACGGTGAGTCTGTTTTAAATGTACCAACTTGGGAAAAGAACAAAACTAAACACAAACACAAAAGAAAACACTAACACAACAAAACACAAACACAACACAAAAGAAAACACAAACACAATGCAATCACAAACACACAAAAAAATGAACAAAAACACAAACGCAACACAAAAGAAAACACAAACACAATGCAAACACAAATGCAAACGCAAAAAACACAAACGCTAAATCGCACCCGGCTGGGGCGCCGGCGGAACCGCCTGATTCAACTTAGTAAACGACTATAATACCCCAACTTATCCATAAAATAAACAAAAGGCAATATTTAAAATATCCGTATTGTACCTACCACGGTGCATTTTATCAATCCATGCTAATTATAATATTCTAACAATAATGTCCTCTTGAACGTCCGAAGAATTAGCATTCAATTTTTTCTTTATTATCGTGAGTTGAATTTATTTTTAAAATACCTCCCCTGGCATAACTATTAAATATTTTAATTAATTAGTTTTTTCGACCGTACTGTTATGAATATGTATCGACTTTTTCTAGGAATCTAAACTAAATTTATATTTGACATTGATACGTTTAATATGTTTTAGCAATTTGCGTGTACTTAATATTTTCTTCACGCTATTCGAAAGTGTAAAAACGGTGGCAACTATGGAATAAATTTAAATCGTTATATGAACAAACCCTACTCTGTTACTTATAATAAGACAATGCGATGCATTGTAAAAACACTACATGGTGCGATGTTAACAATTATGGATCCAAAATCTATAGAGTTGATGGACTGACACACTACCAGCAGCGTTATATTATAGATATGATTTAAAACTTTTATTATTGTAACTAGATTATTTTATTAATATAGCTACGTTCTATCTTAATTTGATGTTACATATATATATATATATATATATATATATATATATATATATATATATATATATATATATATATATATATATATATATATATATATACGTTCCATTTATTTAGGTACGTTCTTGTTTGTTGTATAGGCAACCGAAAAAAATGAACCAGGTGACTACGTTAACCAATCACAACACGAGCCTTACATCAAAGACCGCCGGATGCTCTAGTCACGCGACCAGTCACGTGATACCCTTGATGGGTCAACACGATATGACGGCTCTAGTCTACACAGCCCTTTCATTTCTTTCCGTCGTCACCACGCGATTCTCTCCCTTCACTAAAACACAAATTAAAGCATTACCTCCCCTTAAAGTCAGTGTGGGCGGGGGTGGAGTGGACGAGTCAAGGTGACAGGGGAGTTAATCTCAGTGACGGAAGACTTGGGTTCAGATTTACTAAGTCAAGGGAGTTTATCCGTGGTGAGATCTGGTTCAAGATTCAATCAAGGGCGCTCACTCCAAGGGGTAAACAAAAATATTTATAGTCAAGGGAGTTAAGAAAAGTGTACCATTTGGGTGAAGGAAAGTCAGGGGGTTATTTTTATGTCGATCAGAAAATAAAAGTTACAGTTAGGAAATCTGTTCCAGCACAATGCTAACTTTATAAACAAGATTTTAGAAGTTGTCCTCCAAAAAAAAAAAGGGGTTTAACAAGGGCTGAAATCAAGTTTTTAGCAAATGAATGGTAGAACTTGATGGTTTGTGACTCAAAAAGTTATTATTACATGTACTAGTACTGGCTCTCGGAAGTAATACTTTTCAAATATGATTGTGAATTTTTTTTGAAAAAGTAGGTCTTCTTTAATTAAATGTCGAATTATAAAAGACTTTCGAAAAAAAAAAAGTTTCTTTATTGTATTTTCATGTTATACTACACTCTGTTGCCGCATTTAGTCCAAGCAGAAACCAATTGAAACTACAAAGTGAAGGAAATAACTGACACAACCAACCAACCCCACCCCTTAAACAACCAACCCACCCCTTAAAACAACCACCCCACCCCTTAAAACAACCACCCACCCCTTAAAACAACCAACTCACCCCACCCCACCCCTAAGACAATCATCACTGGAAGACTGGAGAGCCACCTGCCCCACCCCGCCCACACAAAAGTTCTAGTTAGAGAAACTTACATTTCCGGAACTTCCGCCCTAACCCCTCACCTCCCCGCCCCTCCCCACGACTTGTGTAGTTACCACAGTCTGACTCCCTGGTGGATTTCATTAACATCAG